ACTAGCAACAAAACAGACCCTGGATTTTGTTTTTATAATTCAGCCATTATGGGCAATTCCAGATTCCGTGGTTTTTAAATTTTATTAATCATTCATCTCCTATGGTGAGAGGATCTAGGTTAAATCTGTTACATTTGTATTTAAATGGAACTTGTATTTAATTTCAAGGTAAAATGTTATTTGTGTATTGCTTTATGGGAAGTTGTGAAAGCTATGCCAGTACCTTTATTTTCAATAATATGTCTGATGTTCCCTGGCTGGTGTAGCTCAGTGGATTGAGCCTGGGCTGTGAACCAAAGTGTCGCTGGTTCGATTCCCAGTCAGGGCACATGCCTGGGTTGCAGGCCAAGTCCCCACTTGGAGGCACACAAGAGGCAACCACACATTGATGTTTCTCTCCTTCCCTTCCTCTCTCTCTAAATATAAATAAAAATAAAATCTTAAAAAATATATGTTTGATGTTACGAGAAACCAAAACAACACGAAATGTGCTGACGAGGTTTCCTGTATTTGGGACCTTTGTGGTGGCTCTTTGACACCCTCCGTCAACAGCACTGGAGGGTTCTCGGTCTCGGTTTTGTCTATTGTTTAAAACTCTGCCACGATCTTCGGTGATTGAAGTCTAGCATCTTCTTGGCCGGTGGCTTTCAATTGGAGATGCCTGTTAGCGTCACCTGTGAAGCTGTGTTAGAATACAGCCTGTGCCCCAGAGGAACGGGGTACCCGGTGACACGTCGCCTCGCCAAGGCCGAGGTTGGTGTGCACACGGCCATGCTCCCTGCTGTTCGTAAAGTCGCCGCTGCCGAGTCGAAAGGGGCCAGCTCTTTCTCCCAGGAGCTGTGGAGACCCCAGCGATACCGCCTAACACTTACCAAAGAAGTGGTAAATGTCTTAGGAAACACTGACCCTCTCTCCTGGACGTTCTCGGCATAGTCCTAGTAACGCCTGGTATGTGCTTTCTATATTAGGTACATTATACCTCAAAATTATTGGACGTAACGATGATACATATCAGCCTTTATGAATCAGATGAGAGGTACTGACTCTGAAAACCGCTGATCATTGTGTGTGTATGTGTGTACACCTATATATGTATACACATATTTATGTGTCTATAAATAACCTAAAACTTTTTAAAAGTGGCTTTTTTATCTTTACCACACAGGCCACAGAAACAACCAACTTTCCTTGTATTCTTCCCGTTAGACGCTCTTGCCAGACTTTGAATCCTGAAGCGGGTCAGGAATACATTCACCACGGCCGTGGGGAACCTTGGCCACCTGCGATTGGTCCCGTGTCCCTTCGATGCTGCCCCGCAGGTTAGCGTCTGCGTCTCCACACCATGGCCACGGCGGAGCCCCATGGACAAGGACCCTGCAGCTACCTCAAACCAAAGCCACTTCAAGAATGGACTCGTGGGCATGGGCTGCTGCCGGCATCGCCCTGACAATCTTCAGTCTGTCCCCTCGTCCCACCCGTCCCTCCCACCCAACAAAACTGCGGGCTGCGGACCCTGAGTGGGCTGCCCAGGCTTTGTGAAGCTTGCATCCCCGCCGCCTCCTCCCTCTGCCCGGTGGGCTCGTCTCTCTTCCTGGCAGTCGGTCCCCAGTAAACACCCCGTACCCCAGTCTTGGTCTCAGCGCCTGCTTCTAGAAACCCGACCCGGGACAGCACTTGGATTGGGAAAACATCTGAGAACACTGCACTTCATGGATGAGGGCCCTTGGGCAATGGACCGACTGTGTGGTCCCCGCCCCATTCCTCTGTTGAAACTCAGTCTCCGGTCTCATCCCCTCGAAGTGGAATAATGAGACCTCTTCATGGGCTCTACGTGGGGACTGGACTGGAGACACAGCGCTGTCCCTGACACCGAACGCTCTCGGCTCTTTCAAGGCTTTTCACCCGACTAGGTCGTCCCAGCTGAGAGACTCCTCCTTTCAACTCAGGAGGAACAGACTTGGTTAAATCTGTATAGTCCCTTTGCCACACGCCACCATAAATCACGGGGGCGGGCATCAGAGACTCCCAGCCTCCACAGGGAAGGGCAGACCCTCCTCTGCTGTCGCTGACTCTCGAGTCCGAGGGCTGGGCCCCCGACAGAATCGTGCATTTGAAGCACCCGCCCTTTGCCCGCCAACCGGTGGTGCCGCAGACGAGGCGGTCGGTTGTGTGGCGGTGGGGGTGGGGGCCGGGAAGCAGTGCAGGAACCTGGGCGCGGTGACTTTGCAGAGGACACAGGCCGCCTGCTGTCAGCATCATGCCTGTCTTCTTCTCTCCTTCTAGCTGTACATGTTTTAACCTGGAAGGGACCTTACACATTGTCCTGCATTCTGTTCGTCCTGGGAGCTGAGGGTCACCTCGGTTACCAGGGTCTGGCCGGCCACAGAGCTACCCGGGAGCCTGGCCTCCGTCTCCAGCCCGGAGGGTTGGGCCGCCCCCAGGCCCCGCCCACCGCGGCCCAGCCTGCGCCCCCTGTAACCTTGCGTCTTCCCGACCTTCCGGGGGAGCAGCGCTGTGGGAGAGCCAGCTTGGGGGGCTCCTGAGAACCAGTCATGAGCAGCTTTAGTAAGTATTTCCTTGGAATTTCCCCACGGGCTAAAAAAGCAATTTGGAGTTTCTCAAGCTTAGTAGTTCAGCAAGGAAAAAGTAATGTTAATACCACCAAAGGGCTTAAAAGCAAATTGTGGAGAAAGGAAAACAAAATCATTTGATCGTAGCCGATAAGGACAGCCCTGGTCCCACAGGGAAGGTGTGGAAGGGGCCTCCCGGGGCCCGGAGTGGCTGAGCCGCATCCACGCAGAACCAGTGGCTGGTACCCGGTGACAACGCCTCACCTCACCAAGGCCGAGGTTGGTGTGCACACGGGCCACGCTCCCTGCTGTTTTCTTAAAGTCGCCGCACTGAGTGGGAAGGGCCAGCTGTTCCTCCAAGGAGCTTTGGAGACCCAAGGGTACCACCTAACACTCACCAAACACGCCCTGTGTGCTGGGCTTCATTCTAAGCTCTCTACACCTCTTTTCGAATCCTCACAACCCCCCCAGAGGTGTACGTGTTTTTCCCAGTTTCCTGGCGGAAAGAAACGAAGCCGCACAGAGGTCGTGCTCTGCCCCGGGCCAAGCGGGTAGGAGCGGGCAGACTGAGGATTCGAGTCTGCCTTCTCCCATCCCAGAAAACCATCCTCTGACCACACGGCTGTGGCCCCTCTCTAGGTTTGTCTATGCAGAACGACGTGGTTCACTCTTAACAGTTTTCGCTCAGAGGCAAGGGTTCGCAAATTATCCTTTGAAAAGCTCCCCGTCCCACCCCACTCCCCCAGTCCAACAAGTGACCTAAAAGCTGAAAGCTCTGGACCAAACAGTAAAATGGGATCAGGGTCCGAGGGCCTTTACGTGGAGCAGGGAGTCAAAGGCAAGAGAGTACCAGCTGCTCCTAGAGAATTTATTCGTCCGTTGTTGGTGTAATCCCAGTCTCTCCCACCAGAGAGCACCCATCGCACAAAAACATGAACCCTTCCGGGCTTTGCTTTGCGACCCCACAGCCCATCCTACCTGGAATCAGTTTCACAGCTCCGTGCAGACCCTGGGAGGGTCTCCGCTTCTTCTAAGTCCCGAGCTGCCCCGTTAGGCCTTGCTCGGTTGCCTAGCAACTGCAGGGAGCTGTGACACCTTAGAAACCATCTCTGAATGGGAGAGTTAACCTGGACCAAAGGCGGGTGTTGGTACTGGTCCCATTTCAGAGGCTGAAACCTCGTGCAAACCCTCAGTGGCAGGCAAAGGCATCCTCTGGGTCCAGAAAGTTAGAATTGTTTGCTTCGCCATGAGGGCTCCAAAGAGGAGCTAAGAGGAGGGGCTGAAACCCCTGTCAGACAGTGAACAACCGCTCAGGTGTGCTGCTGTGACTTGCAGAGACCACCAGACACACACCTGTTTCTCGATCTCTTGACACAATGCCCTACGGAGAAAGTGCCTGATGGCCAGAATCAAGTCCCACCCTCCCAACACCCCTGGGAGGTGGTTGTGCTGCTGAGGCGGCCCCCCCCCCCCCCGTAGAGGGGGCGTGGTCGAGACTCACTGGCTGGGGTGAAGGAAGGATCTGGCCGGGGCGGGAGGGGCCGGGGAGGCAGACTGGGCAGGGTCAGGCGGAGGCTGGCGCTGGGCTCAGAAAGTCGGTGTCTCGTAAGGAGGAGGAGATGGGGAGGTAAGAAGCCGCCCGGCCGCCCTCACCGCCTGCAGTGTGGGCTCCGTAGTAAGTCAGGCCACGGTTGCAGACGGTCACTCCACGGCAGGCCAGGACCCCGGGGGCTCTGTTCACCCAGAAGTCACATGGTCTGGCGGGAGTGTGGCTCACGGGCGGGGGGCGCAGCCCTGGAGACTGGCTCTGCATCTGCGGAAAGCAACTGGTGCCCCCGCAGGGGTGCCTGGCTGCAGCTGTCCACCAAGTCCTGCACCAAATCCAGGCTCTGAGAGGGACCGCGGGGCTTGGCAGGGAAGAAAGCAAAGAGAGGAGGCAGTCTTGGCCAAGGTCAGCGTTACACATGGGCCAGCCCCCGGAGTAGGAGGGGCCTCGACTGGAGTCTGAGAGGGCAGGCGGCTGCCCCACTGTGCGGCTGCCTCCCGGTGTGGGAGGCTGGTTCCTCGCAGGTCCCGGGGACCCTGAACCGAGGCTGTGGGTGAGGCGTTTGCCTTGGTTATACTGGGCTTCGGAGCAGGGGCGGGGCAAGGTAAACACGGGGTTGGGGGGAGTCACCCCACTGTGAACCCCTGCATGTACAAAGGAAGCTTGTGTATAAGTGTGTTACAGACACAATACAGAAATCAAAAGCAGGGATTATTCACAGCGAAGGTCAAGTCTCCCTCCAGCCCCGCCCGCCCCGCCCCGGCGGCAGCTGCTGTTCCCAGGCCGCGGCTCGCAGAGGGGCCCTATTTATAGCAGCGAACGCCGGCTCGTACGACTGACCGCAGCACATTACTGCCCACAGAGCAGGCCTGGGGTTCCTCCCACGGCAGTAGGCACGGACTCGCCCCATCCTCGCAAAGGCTGTTGTAGGGGAGAAATTACCTGTGACTTCTCTGTGCCTAGACTCAGCCTAGATTCCTGGGCTTGCGTTTCCCACAGTGCGAAGCTTTCCCATGGTTCTCTCCCCACCGGCTCTGTGTCCATCACTAAGTTTCCCCGTCCTACAGCCTCCCACCCTGGGCTTGGACACTTCTCCGGCTTCGTCACCCATCTCATTCTTGACGAGTCAAATGGAATAACCCAGGAGGATGGGGCTCCAATGTCCCTTAAGGACAAAGGCTTAAAAGAGGAGGGGAGAGAAGAGACGGAACCGAGGGCTGTGGGCCTGTCTCGGGTCTGAGATCTGGATGTGTGTGTGCATCTTAAGTCCCCACGGGTTCCAGCCGGACGCACCCCACCAGCCGCGCCCGTGGAGACGGGGCCACGCAGCCTCGGCTCCTGTGGGCAGGGAGTCCGCCCGTCCCGCTGCTCTGAGGGGTCACGGAGCCTTTGCCCTGGTTGTTGGGAGGGCAGTGCACTTGCACTTTTCACACGCTGCCTCTGGTTCCGACTCCTTTCCTCCGGAGATAAGCTCAGCACCCCCGTGTGGCGGGGTCAGATGGGCGGGACGGCGGCTTCAGCGGGCTGTGAGCTCCATGAATACAAGCTGGGAGCCGCCCTATAAATAGCCCAGCACTGTCAGCCTGTGTGGCAACACAAGACTGAGGGCGTGGGGTATTTTCGGGCTTGATCTGCAGGGCCCGCCTGCAGGGTTATAAGCCAGTGGCCGCTCCACCTGCTAATCTGGTCGGAGGGCTCTGGCTGGGCGGACCGTTGGAGGGACACAGCCCGGAGGGACACAGCCCAGAGGGACGCTGGCCACGCTGCCCCTCTCTCCCCCATGGCACAGATCATTCGCAGGCACCTCATAGAGACCCCGGTGCGCTACCAGGAGCAGTTCGAGGCGCGGGGTCTGGAGGGCTGCAGGCTGGACCACGCCTTATTCGCACTGCCCGGGCCGACCACCGTGGACCTGGGGAAAGCCGGCACGGCCCGGGATCCGGCAGGGGACACCGAGGCAGAGGCGCCAGCTCGGGGCGGCAAGGCACGCTTCCAGGTCTTGCTGGACGTGGTCCAGTTCCTCCCCGAAGACATCATCATCCAGACCTTCGAAGGCTGGCTGCTGATTAAGGCGCAGCACGGAACCAGGATGGACGAACACGGCTTCATCTCGCGGAGCTTCACCCGGCAGTACAGGCTGCCCGAGGGCGTGGAGACCGGGGACCTGTCCGCCCTCCTCTGCCACGATGGCATCCTGGTGGTGGAAGTGAAGGGCCCGGCGGGGACCGAGTGACCTCTCCCGCACTGTGCTTCCCGGGCACGAGGGCAGTCGCCGGCCAGCCAGCGACGGTACCACAGGAGTGTGTGTGTGACCCACGTCGGACATGCTTCTCTGGAAGATTGAAGGTGGAGACGTGGTCCCCGGTGTGTTGAGCTTGTCTTTGTTCCCTTAACAAGAGAGGACTCTCGTTGACTATATCCCCAGTGAACAGAGTGCTGCTCTTCTTGCCCCTGACACACTGAGGGTCGTGGGGACTAGTGTGGCACTGGCAGGAACTCGGAACTGTCTCTTTGTCACGGCCCCTCCGGCCGACAGGCTTCTCTTCTCAGTGTGTCCGAATCGCAGCTTTGTGACGGAGTCCGACAGTCACAACACGGGACTTGGAGACTGAGTCTGAAGAATGTGTGTGATTCACTACAGTCCGCCTTGAACTCGTGTGGCGTTTACAATAGAAACCTTACTTTGAAAAGGTCTGTATGCGTGTCTTATTCTTTTTTTTCAACTGGCTCTTACCTGCAGTGTTTTAAAAACAGCGCATGTTCTGTGGAGGTACATGGAGTATTAATAAGATACGTGTTGACTCATACTCTTAGAAGTTAACATTAAGACTAGAAAACCACTTTAAAAAGCACAGCTAGTTACATGTGCTCTTTAGACGCGGCTCAGAATTTTCGGTTTCAGAAGACGGCAAATGAGAGGCGTCTGCTGGCTGTGAGATCCTTGGCTTTACACAGCCCGGCACCCTCGGGGCCCAGGCTGAGCCGACCCAGGCCGGGGTGAGCAGCCAGTGGGGTGTGCAGAAAGGTGTCCGGCTGCTGTTCTCCCCACCCGGGCTTCGGCCGAGACACGCGTGGGGGCTAAGGGTTTGCTTTGGGAACATTGCCTTCGACAGCTGGTCGGTGACATTCCAAAGACCTGACGTCTCCTCCTGTACAAACTGAATGCTTGGCCCGCCCCCCACAGGAGCCCAGGGCAGCTCTGTAAATAGAAGGGGGGCGGGGGCGTTGTGGGTCAGGGGACAGAGGAGCTGCTGACAATCCCACCCTGCGCCTCTAGGGTGCGCTCTAAGTTCAAGTGCAGGCAGGAGAGACAGGCAGCGGGAGAAAGAGAAATCTCACAGTTCTAACAGTTCTAACAGTTCTGCAGAACAGAAATGGCGGCCCAGAGGGCGCTGCGCGTGAGGTCCAGTTAGCTGGGAAGGGCGCTGCAGCTTGGGTTTGCAGGAGGCTGCCGCCTTCGCTCTGAGGTCCGCCCACCGACGGACCCCGGGACCGGACACTGTGGTTGACAGAGTGGCGTCAGCTTTGCTACCTGACTACACGGTCGTAATCAATGAGATCGCATCTGCCAGGGGGGGAGGAGGACCGAAGCCCCCACACTAGACGATTCTTCCCCCGCGATCCACACGCCGCCTCCCGTGAGGCCTTGACCTTCCTGGGGCCCTGCTGGTGGGAGAGGCCGGGAAGTGAATGGAATCCTTCCCTTAAAACGTGAAAATGGAAATAAACGCATCATCCCATTAGCATTTATTTTTTCCGAAGGGGAAGTAATGCACAGCCATATATGTGGAAAATATACTAAGCACTATGGAAAATGGAAAGCATCTATTTTTCTACCAACATGAGGTTGCTACATTAAATGTCTCATTCAGTTTTCCCTTGCACGTGAACACTTGTATCGCTTTAACAAAATTAGGGTTCTCCTCGCCCGGAGTTTGCTGTCCCTCTGGTCCGGGTGTTTGTTCGTCCCCCTCCTGAGCCCTGACAGCCCTTCCCAGCCCCCGTGGGAGCCCGGCAGGCTGACCCCTCCGCACAGGTCATGCCAGTGGAGGCTGGGACTGCAGCCGGGAGTCTGGAGAGAGAAGGAGGGGCGGGATGTGGGGGTCAGGGTGTTCATCTCCCCACTGACGGCCGGACAGGGCGGTGGCTGGGCTCCGGAGAGGCGGCCAGTCCCGAGGCTCCCGTGGGCTTCCGTGTCGTCACACGGTTTCCGTCTGTGTGCATTCCTCTGGCAGCTCCTGCCCTTTTCTACGCCCCGTCCCCGTCGACCCCTCCACTTCGCTGCCGTCCCTGAAGGGTCCCCTCATCAGAGTCCCTTTCGGTGCTGGAACTCGGCTTCCTGCCAGGACCCCATTGCTTGGCCTCTGAAGTAATTTAAAAACCCCACATGTGACTTGCTTTTGCCACATGAACTGAGGTGTGAGGCGGGGCGCGGTCCCAGCACAGGTCAACTGCGTTACAACTTAACCCTTCCTCCTCGCCGCCCGGCCGGACAGGAGGCAGATGGCACCCTCAGATTGGAATCGTTCACAATGGAAGGCTTTGCTGATAAAGAGGGTCATGGCACAGGGCAGGGTGGAAGGGGGACACCTGGCTGCGGGACGCTGTCCTGTCGTCTCCCAGGTCCACGGGGGGTGGTGGGAGGCAGGCAGACCCAGAAACCAAGCGGAAATTCTCCCCGAGCCGCCGACCACCAGCTGTGACCCGTGTCTCTCCAGTCTCCTCCCAGGGTGGCCGGGGCTGGACAGCACAGGTAAGCAGGGGCCTGGCTGCCCCCCACCACAATGGCCAGCGGCCTGCAGGGCAGAGGGCCGGCGGGGGATGCAGGGGTGACCCTGGGGGCAGGGGGACGATGTCCAGCCCACGAGTCATGTGAGACCTGCCCTTGGAGCTCTGCTATGGAAACTTTCCTACGGGGTGGTGCCCGCACTTGACCTGGGAGTGCAGGCCCAGGGTGGTCCAGCCGAGGAACCAGGAGGCAAGCAGAAATGGGGAACGTGTGACATGACGAGTTACTGGGCTGGCCGCGCTCCACGCTTGGCAGCCTCCCAGTGGGGATGGGGACGCTGGCCCAGCACCCAGGGCTCCGGGGCCTCAGGGAAACCCCACCTTAGAGCCATGGGTGGGGAGGGAGGGGCGCCTGTCTGCCCGGTCCCGGCCGTCCCCAGTTCTCTGGTTCCTGTCCCAGGGAACAGCCTCTCTGCCGTCCCATCCCGTGGGGTGTCACCCAACCCCAAGTGGCTGCCCAGGAAGGCAGGTGCCCCGGGGCCTGGCGTGTCCCCCACATGGCACAGGGGCGGAGGGACGCTCGGCTGGTGAGGCTCGCTGGCTCTGACACGTCCCCGTCCGGGTCCGGGTTTGTGTGTGCCGCTTACACGCCATCTGACAACATGCCTTTTCTTCAGGTCTGGAAACTTCCTGGCTGTCATTTCTCCACGTGTTTTCCATTGACCCCATTGGTTTCTTTTTGAGTTTTTATTTTATGGAGCTGGACAGGGAACTTTCGAGGCCAATAATCTCATAGCTCTTGGCTTCCTGTGCCGTGTTTCTGGGTGAATTCCTCAGTATTCAGTGCCCTTATTCCCCTTGAAATATCCCCCCCACACACAAAATTATAATGAACATTGCACACACGTGTTCTATAAGGACCGTCCGTGTGTTAAATGGCACAGGACAAGAAAGAGGTCGCTGTACCTGGAAGACGCCCCCTCTCTGCCTTTCCGGAAGCAGCGACGGTGCCATCCTGCGCAACCAAGCGTTTTTCTCTCCTTAGAGTCTGCACCTGTGTGCGCATCTCCAACCGACCGCGGTTTGTGTGGTCTGTGTCTGGACCCTGGCTGAGTGGACCCCGGGCCGCAGTCTTCTCCCCGACTCACCGCTGTGACGGAAGGGGCTGTGAGCAGCACGCACGGGGAATAGTGCTCTGTTCGTTCATTTGCTTGTTTTTTAAAGATTCTATTTACTTTTAGAGAGAGGGGAAGGGAGGGAGAGAGGGAGAAAAGCATCAGTGTGTGGTTGCCTCTCATGTGCTCCCTACTGGGGACCTGGCCCACCACCCAGGCACGTGCCCTGACTGGGAATCAAACCAGCGACCCTTTGGTTCACAGGCCAGCAGCGCTCAATCCCCTGAGCCACACCAGCCAGGGCAGCTCTGTTCACTTCCGTTGATGCGCAGGTTTTGCTGTGTTTAACTGCAGCGAGTTACTGTCTGTCCGGCTGGTAACTCGCGTCCCGGACCAGTCTGGGGCTGGGAGAATGGTGTGGTTCCAAACATTCTCGAACATGCCCACGGGCTCCCTGTGCAGGAGTGTCCTCAGAGTGTCCCCCTAGGAAAGAAGTCGCTGGAGTGGCTGGTGTGGTCAACTTCCACTTAATAAAAATAATACAATAAAGACCCTGCACAAAAATTTGTGAAGTATTCTTTAATTTGATCTGTTGAAGATATGACAAATGTGTCAAGCAAACTAAAGTCTACCCGTATCAGAAAATCCTAGGCCACCAATACAAATCATCTTCTGGAAGAATATTGCTTGCAGAGGACAAATGCTCACTACAATCAGGGCGGGAGAGTGGGTACAAGGGGGTACAGGGCACCCACCTTTTATCAGCGGGCACATTCCCAAGTCAGTAAGTTTTTGTTCAGGACACGATCTTAATGACAACCCCAAGTTCTGTGATATAAATAGCTATGATTCATTGTATTCCAGGGAGAAAGAATTACAGGGTAACTTTTAAAAAAATGCCCAAAGTAATTATATGCTTGGGACTTTAGGGTCTTTACTTTATTTCATTATAGAAATTCTGTGTTTCTACAAATTATTTTATAGTCAGGAACAACAATAAATATAAGCTTAAGGTATTCCAGAAATGTACCTTTGATAAATGGTCATCACAGTATCTCGGAATAAAGTCCTTGTTTATCTCCATAAGATGTTACAATTTCAGCAGAAAAGCACGTACGTGTTCACTCACTTGGGGACCTGTGCCCTCCCCATCGGGTTATTCCAAAGGACAATTTGCAGACCAATAATCCCAAGAGGTCACGATTCTACAAAACTCAGTGAGCACAAATGGCTTTATTCCTAACAATCCAGCTTTCATGCATCGAAAATCACTTTCCAACTCGAACGACAGATGCACCCCAGCGCTTCACTCCGCTGAGTTCATGAGTGAGAGGCAGCCGACCAGCCTTCTGGGCCAAAGCGGACGGCCAGGGCCCCAGTCGCTGGCCGGGGCTCCTTCGGGTCCCTGGGCACCGGGTCCCTCGGAGCAGCTGTGGGGCATATGCCACGCTCCTGGAACACTCCGAGGGGTGGTGTCCCGCTGCCCTGGCTGCATCCCCCCAGGCCCAGTGGCCTCAAATTCCCCAAACAACATCGAAAGCCTTGGAGAATTCGGTGTGGCTTTAACTTTCTGTTGCTATGGAATGGGGTACAATTAATTTCCTGTGAAACTGGTTTCTTAAGTTGCCAGGAAATTTTAAACAGGCTCTTTTGGTGTGGAGTCCATACATTAACTTTGTCCCTGGACAGGGAAGAGGTGACAAGGCCCCTAGTGACTGTGGCTTCACGGCCAAGAACAGAGCGGTGAGGAAATAGGCTCTGAGAGCAGCCACGGGAACTGGTCATTCCGGCCTCTGTGCCTCCGATTGCTCATCTGTGAAATGGGCTCACGGTGGTTCCTGTCACATACAG